GGTCCTACCTACCGCATAATTACCTACCTACTATGTAGGCAGGTAGGTAGGTAGGTACCTACGTAAAAAAAGTAGTAACCAATCCCTAATAAGTAGGTGATTGTGTAGGTAAGTAATGCCCGTTTTCACCATCAATCCCTAATTTTTAAGTGTGCCCTATGGTAACATACATATAACAAGAATATTACTTTCATAAGGGTCCCTTAAAAATTAGAGATTGATGGTGAAAACGGGCATAAGTCTTGCATACCTACCTACAACATACCTACCTACATACCTACCTACCTATCTGAGTATTTCTCAAAAAAAATTTACATCTTGAAAAAAAAAAAGTGTGCTTTGAAACAGTTCAAAAGTTTTATATTTATAAATCATCACACAAAAAAAACACACACACAATTTTGAAGGATGAATATTAATCTTTAAGATAACGAAGAATTATAGCTATAATCCTACTTATTACCAAATATTAAGATATTTTAAAAATAGTCCTTTTTTACCTTTCATACAAAAACCTGTTTGCCACCCTAGCTTTTTCATGTGTTTTTGTTTCATAAAATGCGATACGTAACTAAATTATTGTAAATTTCTTTGTATTATCGTTCTACAGTAATCGCAGTTTCTGTATCAAATTGATTTTCTATGGGGTGATATAATAATTAGCAATTTAAAGCAAAAAAACAAAATGAGTCGCTCTCATTTACTATTTCGTTATTTACTCTTTAGTTACGATTATTTCTACTTTCCCATGGTTTCTGAACAATTCCATTTTTTTTTTTACACGGACAACAATAGCTGCACTCTGAATGGCTGTTGGCCTGACGTCTCCGCCATACATCTATCGCGAAAATCAGTGAAAACGTGTGTGTTTTGTGGGATTACTTTTTCGTAACAGGAAGTAAAATCAGCGATTTTATATAGAACGGTAAGTCTTCATTTAACCATTTTTTGTAATACGTGTGGTACGAACATTTAGTAAGCTTTTATATTTGCTGTAACAGCGTTTATCAAAAAAATACTTGTTTCTGATCTCATTTTGTCTAATATTTCGTTACGTTTTTTACGAATTTCGTTACGTTACGAAAAAGTACAACATAATGCTGAGTGTATACTGTTATTACCTGACTAAGCATAGTAATATTCACTACTTAATTTATTTTAAAAAATATAGAGCGTCAATAACAAAAGGATTGGATACTATCTGCTTTACAGAAGTGCCACCAGCAAAAAATAATCAAATCATTTAGATTACGTTTTTATGTGATTACTTCTTTTGTTTTTTTAGGAATGCCGCCAAAAACCAATGCCGAAAGGCAAAAAGCTTACAGAGAACGACTCAAAATGGATAAACATGATGGAACAAAAATAATTTTATTAAAATAGTATGAATGATTACTCCCTTATTTTATTTCTAACCCCTTAATATTACCCCGTACTTGGGTGCGTACTTACAAATATTTCGAATTGAATAAATGAAGAGCATTCACAATATTTTGCCAATGTATAACAAGCCTTATGGCCTTACTATTTCGTTACTACCGTTTCGTTACGTACAATTTTTTTGAGAAATACCTACTCATCTACCTTAGGTAAGTAGTGACTAAGGACCTGAGCTAGGGACCTACTATTTAAATTCCCATCCTCTTGCTTACGACTTACGAGAGGAGTAGGTAGGTAGGACCTATCTACCTACTTACCTAACCTATTTATCTTTTACAAGCAAGTTAAAACCTTAATCAAATTTTATTACCTACGAAAATTATTTTTATATTAAATTTTGAATTATATGTTGACCTAACAAATTAGTCCTATCTATTGTAAATAACACATTTTTGTAGACCTTATTACCACCGACATAAAGGTGATAAAAAAGTTCAATCACGAAGAATAGCCTTAATTGACTCGCTGTTTAAAAGCATTAAGGAAGGCAAGAGTAATAAAGAATTAAATTAATCAAATAACGCACAGATGCGGAACTGATTATTACAGTTAAAAAACATAATACGGAGCGCGAGAAATCGCCTCTCAATAGAAAAATAAGTACGGCTTGATGAAACGAGGTCATTGCACGCACTGCATACAATATTTCACCAAACGCTAGCCGCATATAAGTTAATATTATTATGTCAAAACAATATTTTCTAACTTACCGAAAGCATTCACCGAGTGTTCCGTTACAAGATTCGCTTCAACGGCAGCGCCAATGCTGTCACGACACACACACACAAAAACACCGTAGTAAACGTCATAACCAACGTTTACATCGCGAATTGCACCAATAATCGTTGTTTTCCAAAGCTACAAACGATATGAGACATGTAACACAACTTCTAAATGCATGTCGCACAAGCACAAGGTGTAAAACGTCCGCGAACCATATAAAAAACTTAATTTTTGGCAAAGACAGGCCTAATCACCACTCCTTTTCTCTCACGTATTTCTGTGATAGCGAACAGCTGCGTGGTTACTGTACCAAAACAAAAACTGCTCGCGCCATCTGTTGGCACAGCTGGACAAACTTGTGGCCTTGTAAGTAAAATAGCGTAACTTTGCATACGGATCAAACAGAAAGATAATATGGCTTCCGTAGCCTAGAGGGCGCTGTTTTATAAAAAACTAGAGAAAATATAGTTCGACTGTACATTTTACAAAGCAGATTCTATTTGAAAAAAATTTTAGACTTACAATTTTAATATTTATAGCAAAAGCTATATTTTGTGTATTCTGCCTACATACTTACTTTTCAAATAAATAAAATAATGTTTCATCATGGAATACTTTTGTCTACTTACGTTTTGCTTTTTTTTTTATAAATAACAGCAGTATTATTTATTTAGTATGTTAAAAAAAAAACAAAAAGTAGGCTCCGCCGTAACAGTGATTTGACACTGCCGTGACCAGGATTCGAACCTGGGTTACTACGGCCACAACGTAGGGTCCTAACCACTAGACGATCACGGCTATCGGAGCACATGGAGGCGAGGGCGAAATTGTGGATACTTTTCTAGGTAGAGTGGAAAAGTAAAATAGATTATTTTTTATTATCATTTTATGTAGGTACTGATAATACATTATTTTTTATAACTTTATGTGATTTTAATTTTTAATATTTTGAAGTTGCGATCACATTTTTTAAAAGAGTTAAATGCATTTTATTTTCCCATAAATAGGAGATTAAATTCATTCAATAAACAATTATTATTAAAATCATAACACCCACAGATATCTGTGATAATGCACAGTCACAATGGTTCCCAAACTTATTTTGTCTACTAGCTACTTTAGAGAAATTCTTTTTAGCTCCCCATTTGAAATTGAGCGAGAGTCGAGAGATCAGTCAATATCTAAGACTGGGTTGCACCATCTTACTTTAACATTGACAAAAGTCATGAAAAATCTGTCAAACTCCATACAAAAAACACCGGTTAACGTTAAAGTTACGGTCAAAGTTAGGTGGTGCAACACAGCCTAAGGCCGGCAATAAGTACACGGACCGCTTGAAGCAGTCAGGGTCGAAAGCTTCAAGCTGCGACTGCACAGTGAACTGCAGAGTTCTATGGACGGACATACACGAACCGCTCGAGCAGTTGCAACTGATTCGGGCGGTCGACAGCACGGGGAATTTTCATCGTGCGGTCAAGCAGTCGCCAGCCATACACTGACTGCTCGAGCTGTCGACAGGTCTTCGGATTAATTTCGTTGCGGGTCCAATGACAGTTTAACTTTCCCCCGGGACAAACTTGACCTTCATTGGTTGCGTTTTTGTGGCGGTCAAGCTGTAGATCCTGGCTACACAGGAGTTGCAGTGGTGGGAACGAGAGGTGGGAATAGTCCCGTGGCAGCTTCAAGCTGTTGACTCTTGACTGCAAGAGCGGCCCGTGTATGTTGATCACTGACTAACTGCTCGAGCTGTCCGTGTATTGCCGGCCTTAGTTTTTATTAACTCTTTTGAATGTCCTAAAGCATTCCTAGGATGCTGTTCCAAGGAATGCACAAAATATCCCGCTTTTTTCGTCCAACCACTATCAACAAAAGATTATATTATTACGAGTATCTCTCGAGGTCGTTGGTCCACAATCATAGTAAGAGTCCTTTTCTACAACCAGACATGGTCCTAGGGGAGGGGGGCAAATCGGGGCGTTTGCCCCGGAACAGCAGCCTGAAGGGCGCCAAATGGAAAGTTTTTGAAAAAAATATTGTTTTTTACAAGCGCAAGTTATTTTTAGCCATCTCAAACGCTGGGAGGCCTTTCGAAAAAATTATATATTAGCCTATAACGGCCCACAACATCCTCTAGTCTCAGTAGTACGGTTGTTTTGTCCGGTCCCGGACACTGATACCACAGAATAATAATAATATAATAATAATAAGCTCGTATGTGAGGCCTTGTCGAATAGTATCCTGTAGGTGGGCCATCGTGCGTGTTTTGTTTTCGATGTAAACTCGCGGAGATGAACAGGCCTGCTGAAACTAATATAGTTCCAAAATACTGAACTGTCCTATACATGACATAGACGGTGGCGTCTATACCGGATCGCTGGTTCCGATTTTTGCCATGTTGGATACCATATAGTTGAACGATGGTAGCGCCCCCCTGTCATTGAGTTTGGTGGGACAGTTCAGCGTGGTTTTATAAAGGCTTATTCCACTATTCCCCGTTGACAATCCCCGTCGTATAAGCTCCAATTGGCGTTAACGGGGATTAGTGATTTTAGTGAACAAAAAGTTCACTATTCCCCGTTGACGGGGATTGTCAACGGGGAATAGTGAAATAAGCCCTAATAAAGTCTCATTAGTACGGTTATGACGTCTAACCGAACTGATGGGACTGTATTAATATCAGTAGTCCGGGACCGGACAAAACAACCGTACTACTGAAGCTAGAGGAACAACCCTCATTACGTTTGCCGAGACTTGGCCCAGATTCAAATATACTGTGTTCAAGGGCTCTTTTTTTAATGTTGTGGGATAAAGGGATAAGGGAATAAAATATACACAGATCATTGCTATTGTTTATTGATTTAAAATACAAAACTTAGTGACATAAAGCTCTATCCTTTTATTGTTACAGTGCCTGCGAACTGACAATCCGATAGGAAATAAACATTTTAGCTTATCGCGCATCAGCACATGTCACACACTTCACATAACTCCATACTGTCACAGTACAAATAAATAGTAAGTATAGTATATTACATACTCAAGCGCAAACATCTAGGGCCATTCTTGAGTAATGGATTTAGTTAGAACTATTCAAATAGGTTGGTGTTTTACGTGTTGGTTATCACTTAACTCTCCGACTAGTTGTTATGTAAAAATAGCAATGTTGCGGCAGATTTCCGACTTTACAGGTAATACATGCTTGATATCAAAAACATACAAACTAATTAAAATTCTAACATCAGAATCTAATACTGTTTGATGTTCTAATACAAATGAAACCGACAAAAATATTTATATAACATGTAATTTACATAGTCACATAAAAATATATTTTATTATTCTCTAACATTTGGAAACCCGCCGGTAGATTAATGTTATTGCTCTATCATCAAAATTAAACATGTCCCATACCTATTTCTTATACTCTTTCTAACAATCCTATAAACGTCATGAAGCAGAAAAGTATTACAGTAAATATTATACAGATATTCAAAAATTTATAGTACAGAAAACAGCAAGATTAGAAATAGATTCAAATCTACAATGAAATGGGTGAACCTATTTGTCAGCACTATAAGAAACAAACGAGGGAAAATACTTTCATGCTTCATGTACCAAATCAAATAGCTTTACCTTACAAACGCTTTATTTAAATTTTAAAATAATTACATAATCGAGGGTGTTTTTATAAAAATTCACGGCAACATTACGCAGCACCGCGGTAATGTTGCCTCGTCTCATTAGCCGCTCCACTCTGAACTTGCGTACATTCAGTCGACAATTAACTAAAAATAATTTCAAATAAAAATATTTTCCTAAGCTTAAGTTCAGAATAAAGTTGCTAAGCGTGGACCCGCTACTTATGTGACTTTTGTACCATATACACTTAACTGGACATCACCATAATATGCCATTCAATTACACTAATATAGTGAAGAGATTAGGTATTCCCGAGCTAATACCTTATTAAACTAAACCTTGCACTAACACTATGTGCAAATTTTAAACTATGTATCACAAGCTTCAACTAAATAGAGCCGAGTAAGCTCCAATCGAGGCGTACGCGCCGCCTGCCAATCCTTTCCCGTTATTGCAGTACAAGTCTGTAACCTTTGCCGTCCATATTTACAATACAATCAATATTTATCTATATAAAAACATGACCCACATACACAAGTACATTTTCCTACGGAAATGTGAACGTCAAATGTTACAAGACGTCGCAGTGTGCATTCCATTACGCGCACACGAAACAAAAGGTCTGTACGGATTCATCGACATCAAACTGGACATTTTAATTATGTGAATATTTTATCCTATATCAGCATGGTCCCAACGTGATAGACAACTGTCAAAATATATATTCGAAGTGCAGTTACTTGTCTAAAATGCTGTATTACCGAACGGTAATATGCGCGGACACTCAAACTTTTAGAGCTTTGCTCGTCGTCGGTTGTGTAAGCGCCCAAGTGAGTTTCTCCGTCAGGTCAGTACCATTGAATAAATACAATACTTTCTAGCCGAGTTACACAAATCGATATGTAATTAATTATTAGTAAAGTAAAATAGTAATTGCATACAATGTATAGTTATCACATTTGCTGTCACAATATCGGTTGGCCGCACTCGCGGCAGCGGATGACGTCACTTGCGACAAAAAGCCTACCATGAGTAGCGGGTCTTATCGTATAAAGTTCCGGCACAATAAGGCAGTGATTCAGTGTATTGCTATACAAAATATCTCCGTTACAAAGTTTCGACCAGTCTGTTGCAATGAGGTTAGTCTATTGTAGATTCAAATCCAAAAACGTTCAACAAGTCAGTTATGTAATTCAATTTATTAATTCCTATCTGAAATACCCAAAAATTTTTATATATGATTCAACATTCTCGTAACCTACAAGTACATTTTGTGTTTTATAGAATTACCTATACACTATCTGTTTTACACATCGTCTGAATATTCCAATGGGTCAAAAATAACGTATATGCTTTAAAATAATACTTGAGACTCGGATCACAAGCATCAGAGGTCGTGAACATCGTCTATGTACAATCGGCGCGAGGGCTGTTCATGACTCCGACTAACGAATCAGTCAAACGGGTGGTGTCAAATTAATCATTTTGTGCATCAAAAAATACTTAATTCTATTTATCTGTCTGTGTTAAAACAAATTCTCATTGGCCCTTTGAATTTCAGTCATCAGTTGCCGACACTTTAAAAATATAAAGCTTGCGATAATTAAAACTGAATGAAAGCCTAACTAGCATAGATCGTAACTAAACTATAGATTATCCAGTTTAAATTGCAGTCTGTATCCATTAGTCTGGTTTCCTAAATTTTATATACAATATTTATTTACTACCATATTGCGTTCTTGATATGCATTGCGTAACAATAAAAAAACCTAGCTTTCATGCCCATACGCATCCGGAGTGTGACGGGATCGCGGTCATCATACGCTCTATAAGTACGGTCGAGTGAAGCGATTAAGAACAAAATACACGTTACAACGTAACAAAAATCGTACCATTATATTTTTACAGTCAGACTTATCGCATTAAATAAAAATATAGAATTATAAATACGGTTCAATCAGTCCAGGGGGTGGGCCCCGGGGCGCGCTAACGAGTTAGTCCGTGGGGCACTGTGGGTCACTGGTCACTGCCACTTAGTCTGAGCCACTGAGCCACTGGGCCACCGCGCCGCTGGGCCACCGAGCCACCGAGCCACCGAGTCGCCGTGGGCTAGTGTATGGCGACAGGGCTGTGCTGCAGCGTGCATACGGGCAGCAATTCGTCGTCGCGGCGAACGTTCTCGACGTCCATTCGCTCGGCGCCGCCCCACAGTCGCGCGCCGCCCACTGCGTACAATAAGCTCACGTTAGACGCCAGGCGACGGCAACCGCAGTGACGGTAGGCAGGTCGCTACGAGCTATACTAGGCTACGCTGTGTTGATAAATAATGTTTCACGTTAAACGATTAGAACTCAAGAATAGACTCCAGACTGCGTTTTGTAAAAATAAAATTTGACCAATCACAAACTCCGGTCTATGCTTGAGTTTTTGAATCTACTCAACTTTACTTATTGCAAATAAACTTATTTGATTTGATTTGATTTAATCTCATAACACGGGCTTTAATTTATACAGTGTGAGTCACGTTAAAGTGTACATATGAAATTAGGTAAAACTAGACCTATTTTTATCGACAAAAAAGAGGTCAAAAAAATTTTGAGATTTTTTTTTAATTTTTTATCGAATTTTTTTTCTTCCAATTACTTATTGTAAAGAAAACGTAATAACTTTTAAACTCAGCGGTATATCCTGATAAAATAAAAACAGCAATAATGCTAAATAACAGGCGATATTAAAAAAATACATAAAATACACAAAAAAGGCCAAAAAATAATAAAAAATGATACTTTTTGAAAAAAATCTGCTTAAAAATTCGTGTTTTTTTGGTTTTTTGATAAATTTTTCCAAAAAATGCCCCTATGACTGGTGGTTTTTATTACTTTGTATTATTCTCTATCGTATTACCTTCGTAAAACCAAAAATCGCATGTCTTTATCCCTATCACAACGTTTGCAATGATTGTTTGAACTAAGCCTCTCCGGGCGCGCCATTCAACGCTTCGTTAACAACGAAAATGAAAATGGCTCTAGATTTGTAATTTTGATAAAAACAAGTTAGATTGCAAATAGAAACAAAAGATTTCGAAGTAAAATAAGCATTTTAGGTAAAATTAAAATTGTCTCTACCTGTAGCGGAGAATAATGTTGTGGCAGGCCTTTGTTCAAACGATCATAGCAAATGTTGTGATAGGGATAAAGACATGCGATTTTTGGTTTTACAAAGATAATACGATGGAAAATAATACAAAATAATAAAAACCACCTGTTATAGGGGCATTTTTTTGAGAAATTTATCAAATAACCAAAAAAATACGAATTTTTTAGCAGATTTTTTTCATAAAGTCTATTTTTTTATTATTTGTTGGCATTTTCTGGGTATTTTATGTATTTTTTCAGTATCGCCTGTTATTTAGCATTATTAATGTTTTTATTTTATCAGGATATACCCCTTAGTTTAAAAGTTATTACGTTTTCTTTACAATAAGTAATTGGAAGAAAAAAAATTCTATAATGAAATTAAAAAAAAATCTCAAAAAAATTTTGACCTCTTTTTTGTCGATAAAAATAGGTCTAGTTTTATCTATTTTCATATGTACACTTTAACGTGACTCACACTGTATGTTTTTAACAAAACTGATCACTGCTTGAACCATTATCTAATCAAGCTATTGTTACATCTGTGAGCATTATTTATCAACACTAATTTATTATAACAATTGGTATGAATGAAATAGCAATTTGTTTGTAAAAATCAATATTATGTCGAGAAAAAGCGTTAAAATATTAAACAGATCTAGAATGTTAAAATAATATTGAAGGCGGAAATCAAACGACAAAAAGTTAGGACAACCTACGGTTAAAATCTGTATGTCTCATAAAAGCAATTTGCTCTAATTTTGTTAATTGCGATCTGCATCGAATACTTTTTTTGCTTTAATTTCTGAAAGAGTTTAGTGTATCAGTTTACTTTACACCCTGTATAGTTTTTGAGTTCTTTAAATTTTTATTGATGAACACTTAAAAAATGGTAGACAAACAGATTTCAACAAGACCATGCATGAACAACATCGAACCGCATGCAATGGAGTGGTATATTGGGGTAATTCCCATTTGTGCTATGGAGCGTGACGTCATTGGATCAGAAGATATTTTTTTATTTTTAAATTCATACATCTCTCTTTGTTCACAACTGACCGATTGTGTGCTTAACTTATTATTTAAAAAACTGAAATATGCTGTACTGATAAATTGAGAACTGAAAATAAATAGGGTACTTTTCATAATATCAATCAACGAATAATTTCAAGACCTAACTTATTTAAAAACTGATATCCCAATTACTTTCAATGATATAGCTGTAAAATCAATAAATAGTTATTTAATTGTTGTCGAATACGTGAAATCATAAATTACTATAGCTTTACAAAACCACGACTTGTCTATTATTGGTGTTAAATACCCAATCGTTCCATGAAAGAATCTCTTCACCAAATATTATAAGGAGTAAACAAGCATATTTGTCGCTGACGTCACGTCCTCTAGACCGAATGGGAACCACCCGGCACGGCGGGAGTTCGGTAGGACTGGGGCAGGGTAAATACATTCCGACAGAACAAGACGCAGACCTGGCAGGTAACGTTATGTGGCGGCGTTAGTGCCTCGCGGCGGGGCCGCCGGACCGCTCTAGTCATCGCGGGTCCGACGGGCCATCTGCCATCGAACACACGGTTATTATGGACCATTCGTATGGAAGTTACCGGGAACGTGAGCAGTGTTCGCTGATGCTATAGGCAACTTAACGAAGTTGTAAAGATCTTTTATATGAGTTACAGTCTTAGGCCCTTTTCACACGTCCCGGTTCCCGGCTAACCGGCGCCGGGTACCCGGTCGTGAAGTGTATGGGCATGCCGGATTAATTACGCCGGAACATGTGAAAGCTACGTACCATGCCCATACACTTGACCACCGGATACCCGGCGCCGGTTAGCCGGCAACCGGGACGTGTGAAAAGGGCCTTATGGTGCGTCCACACTGGGCGAATGGGCTCGCGCAGCAAACTCGACATCTTGCTCACTCAAGAGCAGGGTGAGCAGGATGTCGAGTTTGCCGCGCGAGCCTGTTCGCCCGGTGTGGACGCACCATTACAGACCAAGAAAGCTCTTGGTCTGTAACTCATATAAAAGATCTTTACAGCTAAGCAGCTCGCATAGCTAACGCAGTTTCCCATGGTATTTGTACAGTTTGCAGTTCACACACAACTATGGAAACCTGCGACAGCTATGCAAGCTAAAACTAAGCTTAGCTCTCGATTTGCAACCCGTATAATCAGAATGTTTAAGCCACGCCCCTCTACTTTAGAGTGGGGGTATGTCAAGTATTTGTACCGTTTTGCCCATAGAGGTAGCGAATAATGCTTACGTTAAACAAGACCATACGGTCATGTTAGTTACTTCAAAACGTTTGTTAGTACATATGACTCATATGAGCTCTCATTGTAGTTACCGTTAAATATTTCTTAAAACTCGATTTCTTTTTATATTAAACCTTTTAATTGGAATGTGTATTAACGTAATGTTAACGGTAACTATAAATATATGCATAAAATAAATACACATAGGTTCCAGTAGTTATGTTGACGGATTTAAGAAAAAGACAGCTATAAGTTTCTGTAGGGCGTTGTCTTTTTCCCTCACGTAACAAATACTGACTGGAACTACAAGAACATTGTTTTTGGTCACAAATATTTAAGACAGACACATAATTAGGTAACTTCCATGATTATTCTTAACAAGTTATGAGTATTGTGTTAATTGAATAAATGCGATGACAAAAGCGTTATGTGTTAGCGAAGAACACGACACAAGCTGACGATGTATTCTTTGTATGTACTTAAATATAATACACATCGGGACATTCAGTTCATTCAAAAAACAAACCCAATAGTTGGCCAAATAAATATACATCTGTAAGTTTATTATATTGTTTTTTATTATTATAACGATGTTATTAGGGTTGAGATTTGTCTGATTTTCACATTCGTCTTGGCATTGATATTCTTCACAACTTCTGAAGAGCAGTTTATTATACAAGACTTCGTTTTAGCCACTGGAAATGAATCAATTCAAATTTTATTTTGAATTTTTGATTCATTTATTGAAGAGATCTCTACACAGAAATTTAGGTTTTACCTTGATGAATCACATATTATAATTAGATCGCGATCACATAATTTATAGCGTTTGACATTTGATAGCGACTAACTTCAGCCATTTTGTTATTTTCTGGTTTGAAATTATACGACAAAAAAGGAATGATCTGATGACTGAAACGAAGCCTTGTATTTTATTTTTAAGGCGCGTTGCATATAGCACATTTATCTCACTTTTACATAATGCCATCATCATTATTGTAAAGTGATCAGATTTTTTTCTGATTATGTAAGTAAGTTATATTTCTGAAGTTAATTAACATTACTAACATGTGTGGTGAGTTCCCCATGAATAATATTTGACATCAAAACCTAACCCCAGCAGTTCAAGTGTAAGGTTCATCCATCACCTTTTTAACATCTTAGCACTAGACTTTTTTAAAATAGGTTAGTGAAAACGGAGTTTAGCTACCACAATGCAACATTAATAGTCTGTCTCTTTTCAATCAATAATGAGGAAAAGGAACGAATGGTTCAATATCGGTCGCTGAGTGAACTAAGAACTTGACTTATTTTTACCAGTCTGGTGCTGAGGTGTTAAATGGAAGACGTATCATCATAACGGTCTTGTAAACGAGCAACATCTTTTGCCGGCATGCAATGGTCACCATTATTGTTATTTGAATAATTTGAGCACTCCATAGCTTCAACAACATCTATCAGATGCCGTGGCGTAGATAGTTGCCAGTATTGCCGAGCAATATCGCGTCCATTATTCTTCGTTTCCAATCTAAGTAACTTGTTGCAGTAGTTTATAACCAATGTTCCTAACTATATTGCCGTAAAATATTGCTCGTTTCCAAGCAACTTGTTGCAGTTGTTTGTTACAATGTACCCGAGAAATATTTCCAATGTTCCCGAGCAATATTGTCAAAGTCCCCGGGCAATATTGCAATGTTCCCGATCAATATTGCAATGTTCCCGAGCAATATTGCCAATGTCCCCGAGCAATATTGCAATGTTCCCGAGCAATATTGCCAATGTCCCCGAGCAGTATTGCAATGTTCCCGAGCAATATTACCAACATTCCTGAGCAATATTGCCAATGTTCCCGAGCAATATTGCCAGCGTTACCAAGCATTAATAACTTTTTCAATATTGTCGGGTAATATTGCGAATATTCCCGAGCTATATTGCCAGTATTCACGAGAAATATTGCCAGTATTTACGAGCAATATTGCCAGTATTGCCAATATTACTCGTCCCTAAACCACTTTAATAGTGCTCCTATAGTAACGTACCGTGCTGATGGTGCTGCTGCTGCTGCGTGTTGGTGGCCTCGTCTGCGGTGCGCTTGAAGAAGTTGTGCTGGAGCGCGTAGTACGGCGTCACGCGCTGCTTCGGCTCGTACTCCAGCATGCGGAGGATTAGGTCCTGGAATGGGCCGAATGAAGAATGTTAGGTACATACTATTATTTGCAACTTGTAATGTGACACTGAAAAGAAACTAGATTCAAAAGAGTGTACTTCTGTTGCATAACTTGAAAGTAGTCTGACACATACCTCAAACTAAAGCCTGGTCCGTGAGCACGTAGAATCCCGTCCAATGACCCCAAGCTACCCATCCCTATTGCTCGCGCGTAATTATGTTGCTGTCGCGCTCGCACACTCACTGCGGGCGCCCGTCGCACAGTTGCGACAGCAACATAATTACGCGCNCGTGAGCACGTAGAATCCCGTCCAATGACCCCAAGCTACCCATCCCTATTGCTCGCGCGTAATTATGTTGCTGTCGCGCTCGCACACTCACTGCGGGCGCCCGTCGCACAGTTGCGACAGCAACATAATTACGCGCGAGCAATAGGGATGGGTAGCTTGGGGTCATTGGACGGGATTCTACGTGCTCACGGACCAGGCTTTAGAGGTAACCCTCTTTTTGTTGTGGTAAACAACGAGAAAGGTCTTGGCCAGCTGAGGAAAGTGATGATCAGGCCAAAATTGGAAGCGAGTTCCTACAATTCTCAACCAAAGAAGAACTGGTTATCTAACCTCCAATTATGACACATACCTTACACTTGAAATAGTGTTGATACACTTGAAACACTTGAAACATTTACACTATACGTGTGTCGTGTCGGCACGATAATTGTCCATGTTTTTGAGGAGTTTTCCGTCGTTTGAACTCTAATAGGATGGTGGACGCGATCAGACGTTGAAACTTGAGGTGGTCTAATAAAGCTTGACGTAGTTTGACACATTCCTTAAACTTGAGGTAGTCTGACACGCAGTGGCCGGGCTCGCCGCGACGCCGCGCGACCGTCCCTCCGCCCTCCACTCCCAGTATGTCGTGTAGTCGCCGCGTGCTCGGCGCCCGGTACTTTCACTTCAAACTACACTTGCGAGCAAAAGTATGGAATCACTTACATGAAGTTGTTTCCACGCGATCTTGTGAACTAACGAATTTGTTAGTAACAAAAAAAGTGGCACCATTTTAATGATTAAACTTTTAACTTTAAATTGATACCAAATTCATTTAAATCACACCAGTATTTAAAAAGATATCCCGGCTGATGAAAAGAAGTAAGGAAAAAGACATGTATCAACTGTTTGATACGTCGCGAGTTGCGGCCTATTTACCCCCTATAAAAGCACGTGTTTTCGGATTTTTGCTTTCACACGTTGATCCTTACACATCTCCGCTTCTTTTGACACTTTACCTGGGATTCTACACCTTCAGAAGCAGCACAAATCGTTGCATTATTGCAAGAAGGGCTCAGCCAGCGGGCTGTCGCACGTCAGCTCCACATAAGCCAGTCTTGGGTTTCTAAAGTTTTAAGACGCTTTCAGGAGACTGGTGGCTTTATCCCGAGACCAAGTTCTGAACAGCGCCGCACATACGTAGATTTCAACGATTTAGGCGGCCAAAACCCAGTTTTCCAAAATCAATCTATTGAAAAATAAACCATGTACGCGGGTAGTACACAATTCCAGGAATACCATGGTACCTTTTTCAATGTTCAACGAGCGCAAATCTACCCTCTAGAGTAGTCTGAATGCGATAGTCCGCTTAACGTGTATGTATTTGTTTTCGGGCGCTCTTAAACTTACAACTTTTGTAAATTGCATATTTATTTTCAAAACCATTGTTTTCGAGAAACAGTGGTGGATTGCGATACTTAAGGGTAGAGCCTATGTTTTTCAACAGTAATTTACTTAGTTTTTGTTTTCCTAAATATATTTAAAAGTTGTCAAAGATAGCTGTATCAGAAATGATATTTTTTTTGTATTTTTTATTTTAAAGTGGTCGTTTAACTAACTTCAGGGTCCGTCCGAGCAATAATTTCTTTATTTTTTAATAGTTTACATATTGTCCTTAAAGTCTAAAAAAAATTTTGCCGCGGNTTTTGTACTCATAACTAATTTCAAGCAAAAAATATTTTTGGCCGCCTAAATCATTGAAATCTACCTATGTGCGCCGGTGCACATCGCAGAGGGATGACCGTTTTTTCATGTCAAACTCTCTATGAAATCGTTATTTCACTGATATCGACGTCCAGCAAGAGCCCAGAAATGTTTGTAGGATAGCTGTTAGCGAGTGGACAGTTCGTCTAAGATATGAGCAATAGAATTTGACTCCAAAAAGGTCTGCCACAGGCTCGAAACTGACGGCAAGTCACCGACTAGCACGCTTTCAATTAGCTCGCACTTATTTTGATGGGAAGGCGAGTAATGGAGGCGAGTTTTGTTCTCCGATGAATGCAGACTGTGTTTGCAGTGCAGCAGTCGAAGAGGTCGGGTCTATAGGCGGCCTGGGGAGAGATTTGTGCAGTGCTGATTCGCTGAAACAGTGGCTTATAGGGGTGGCTTGCTCGACTTCCCATCGAGATGTGTACGAGCAAATTGAAAGCGTGCTTATCGGTGACCTGCCGTCAGTTTCGAGCCCGTGGCAGGCCTTTTTGGAGTCAAATTCTATTGCTTATATCTTAGACGAACTGTCCACTTGCTAACAGCTATCCTACGAACATTTCTGAGCTCTTGCTGGACGTCGATACCAGTCAAATGACGATTTTATAGAGAGGTTGACATGAAAAAACGGTCATCCCTCTGCGATGTGCACCGGTGCTGTTCAGAACTTGGTCTCGGGATAAAGCCACCAGTCTCCCGAAAGCGTCTTAAAACTTTCGAAACCCAGGACTGGCTTATGTGGAGCTGACGTGCGACAGCCCGCTGGCTGAGCTCTTCTTGCAATAGTGCCACGATTTGTGCTGCTTCTGAAGGTGTAGAATCCCAGGTAAAGTATCAAAAGAAGCTGAGATGTGTAAGGATCAACGTGTAAAAGCAAAATCCGAAAACACGTGCTTTTATAGGGGGTAAATAGGCCGCAACTCGCGACGTATCAAAGAGTAGATACATGTCTTTTTCCTTACTTCGTCACATTAACCGGGATATCTTTTTAAATACTGATGTGATTTAAATAAATTTGGTATCAATTTAAAGTTAAAAGTTTAATCTTTAAAATGGTGCCACTTTTTTTGTTACTAACAAATTCGTTAGTACACAAGATCGCGTGGAAACAACTTCATGTAAGTGATTCCATAGTTTTGCTCGCGAGTGTAGAGGTAGTCTGACACACACCTTAAACTTGAGGTAGTCTGACACGGAGTGTCCGGGCTCGCCGCGACTCCGCGCGGCCGGCCCCCCTTCAAACTAGAGGTAGTATGACACACACCTTATACTAGAGGTAACTTGACACGTACCTTAAACTTGAGGTAGTCTGACACGGAGTGGCCGGGCTCGTAGCGATGCCGCGCGGCCGGCCCCCCTTCAAACTAGAGGTAGTATGACACATACCTTATACTAGAGGTAACTTGACACGTACCTTAAACTTGAGGTAGTCTGACACGGAGTGGTCGGGCTCGCCGCGACGCCGCGCGGCCGGCCCTCCGCCCTCCACTCCCAGTATGTCGTGTAATCGCCGCGTGCCCGGCGCCCGGTACTTTTACTTCAAACTAGAGGTAGTATGACACATGCCTCGAACTAGAGGTAACTTGACACGTACCTTAAACTTGAGGTAGTCTGACACGGAGTGGCCGGGCTCGCCGCGACGCCGCGCGGCCGGCCCTCCGCCCTCCACTCCCAGTATGTCGTGTAATCGCCGCGTGCCCGGCGCCCGGTACTTTCTGTAACCACTGCTCACGTTAGTACAGGACTGAAGGTGTATTTATACTGATATGTTGCCGATATAGCGTCCGCAATTTGTAAGGACACCAAAATCAAAAATCAAAATCAAAAATATTTATTCAGTTTAGACCACAAGTGGCACTTATGAACTTCAAACATAGCAAACAATAAAAAGAAAAGGTAGCCCTTATGGGGCACCTTACATGTCTCCTTATCTTTTGGGCCCTACCAGCGCTTCGAGACAAACATATGGCAAGTGCTGAGAAGCTGCACCGACCGACTGGCATGCATATTACGAATCTTAACAACCAGTTGCTAGTTGTACAACAGCATTGTGAATGCTACGCCAACCAATGACAGCGCTGCGTTTAATTACAGGTGGCGCTAGTTTCCGTACATTTTTATTTATTTAATCTTGAATGCCATAAATTGGTACATTCTTCACTGGTTGCTAGGATTCGTAATAACCCCACCGGCGCAGTGTCTAAGGGGTGCAAATAGTCACGCTTAGTAGCAATGCGAATACACAGCAAAACTGAGAACGGTAATTTGGTAAGGTAAACCAACTTATTTGAAACTTAAAGGATACGAAAAATGTATAAATTATAAATTTCGACATTACGTGTCCTAAGTGAAGAGACTATAGAGAAACTTATTATCAAAGACGCCTGACGTCGTACCAAAAAAAAGTCAAAGGTTATAGGCATTAAGCCTATAGCGTTAGATGACTAGCAAAAAAACTTCATTATTTATGCATATTTTGACGTGCATTTTGCATAGTAACAAATAATATTACGTCAAACACTTACCTGCCATCTTTACCGTTGACTTTCTTTAATACATAACCACCGCCTTCTGACGCTGGTAATTTGTCAAAGAACTTTCTCGTTTTGTGGGCCTGAAATCAAGAAAAGAAATATTAGTATTCCACCTGTTTCATACCATTTATACGGTAACGTATTGTAAAGTTATCTGGTAGTAAAATAGAACTAAAGCCCGGTCTCTGAGCACGTAGAATTTTGTTCAATGACCCCAAGCTACCCATCCTTATCGCTCGCGCATAATTATGTTGCTATTGCGCTCGCACACTCACTGCGGGCGCCCGTTGCACAGTCGCGACAGCAACATAATTACGCGCGAGCGATAAGGATGGGTAGCTTGGGGTCATTGGACAAAATTCTACGTGCTCGGCGACCAGAGTATAGTTTTTGTATGGGGCCCACATTGGAAACTCAAAAAATCTTCACCTGGTCGACCTCTTTGGCTCCACTGAACAGTGGCTCACCAGTGTGCACGACGAGTATGCACCATAGCGACCATATTTCTATCACTGGGTCTTATGGCACGACAAATTACAGCTAGAGAGTAGACTACACTCACTCACCTGGTCTAATAAGTGATCAGGCGGCATGCCTAGCACCTCCACGATCTTGTTCATCTGGTCGACCTCGTTGGCCCCGCTGAACAGTGGCTCGCCAGTGTGCATCTCGTCGAGTATGCACCATAGCGACCACATTTCTATCGCTAGGTCATACGGCATAGTAACACTAAGAGAGTAGACTACACTCACTCACCTGGTCTAAAAAGTGATCAGGCGGCATGCCTAGCACCTCGACGATCTTGTTCATCTGGTCGACCTCGTTGGCCCCGCTGAACAGTGGCTCACCAGTGTCTCGACGAGTATGCACCATAGCGACCGCATTTCTATCGCTAGGTCATACGGCATAGTAACACTAAGAGAGTAGACTACACTCACTCACCTGGTCTAATAAGTGATCAGGCGGCATGCCTAGCACCTCCACGATCTTGTTCATCTGGTCGACCTCGTTGGCCCCGCTGAACAGTGGCTCGCCAGTGTGCATCTCGACGAGTATGCACCATAGCGACCACATTTCTATCGCTAGGTCATACGGCATAACGAGTAACACTAAGAGAGTAGACTACACTCGCTCACCTGGTCTAATAAATGATCAGGCGGCATGCCTAGCACCTCCACGATCTTGTTCATCTGGTCGACCTCGTTGGCCCCGCTGAACAGTGGCTCGCCAGTGTGCATCTCGACGAGTATGCACCATAGCGACCATATTTCTATCGCTAGGGTCTTACGGCACGCCAAGTAACAGCTAAGGAGTAGACTACACGAACTCACCTGGTCTAATAAGTGATCAGGCGGCATGCCTAGCACCTCCACGATCTTGTTCATCTGGTCGACCTCGTTGGCCCCGCTGAACAGTGGCTCGCCAGTGTGCATCTCGACAAGTATGCACCCCAATGACCACATATCTATCGCTAGGTCATACGGCATAGTAACACTAAGAGAGTAGACTACACGAACTCACCTGGTCTAATAAATGATCAGGCGGCATGCCTAGCACCTCCACGATCTTGTTCATCTGGTCGACCTCGTTGGCCCCGCTGAACAGTGGCTCGCCAGTGTGCATCTCGACAAGTATGCACCCCAGTGACCACATATCTATCGCTAGGTCGTAGGGTACGCCGAGTAACACCTCCGGTGATCGGTAGAACCTTGATTGGATATATTGGTATATCTGGAAAAGAACGGTCAGAATTTTAATACTATAGTTCTCCTAGTAATTAAAAAATATTCGAGATCATTACTGATTGCTGGTGTCATTTATCTATGACACTCTCAATATTATTTCTCATTATAAGCATTCACAAATTCGTGTTCCATTAGTCTGCTCTAAACTTGTAAACACAATAGTGTCAGCGTTTGCGTCACATCCTAGCTTATCTGAAATGGATTTCTCATTCTACAAACTCATCGAGACAGACGAGTCGTTAATCAAAGCCTAAACACAATCTAAAGTTCGGGGCTACGTTTCATTGAACGCTTTTGTCTTCTGATAGAATATTCGCACACGAATTCGTATCGTTTCGACGTTGAACAGTGCTGATAGCGAAGATTTATCCATTTCCAAGTACACAATAGTATTATTAGGAATTTATTAGGGCTGTCAATTTAGGAGTTGCTCTTGCGTCATTCATGATTATCTTTTATTCGCAGAATTTTGACTAAGATATAAGGATCTTATGTTCTAAGATAATTATAAGACGTCAATTTACTAAAATATTAGATTTGTAATTGTATTTCATTGGCGAATAAGTTAATAATATTTTAGTTATGCAAATTAATGTTTTTTTGTTGTCAGATGTCTACGTCCTTTTTGTCTTCACTTTGCCCTTATCATCTGGCAGAAAAACGACCTAAAACCTAAACCGTCAGTGAATTCTACTAGTAGAAAAATGAGAAAACCTAATCCGTTAGTGAAATCTGATAGGGCCGTTAGTTTTTTTTCCCCAAATTGGCACCCCTGCCATAATTATAATTGAGACGCAATAGTCGATAACCCCGGGCGCTGAATCACACGCCCCCCGTGTGATTTATACGCGCAATTAGCCTATGCCGGGTACCGACTCTATAAATCGGCACATTCGTTTAGGATCTGATCCATATGGGAAGCTAAAATATACCTACCCTTTTCATGGGGAATATTTCATTAGAATGCATTAACTGATCTGAGGTGGAATTGTGTAAAGCAATCGTTATCATTTGACAGTTCATAACGTACGATTATTCTGTCAAACGCTTTGTTTAACCCAGATACTCCTGAAACTTTTTATCCTTGTCAATTTTTATAAATTTTTAGTATGTTTCTAAATAGAGGTCAAGTATCCACAGAAAAATATTAGAAAAATTCTTGGTCAACTGGAAAAGCCGGAAAATGGGTGGTGTTTTAACACCTGGTCGGAGAATGGACTACTACTACGAGAAAAAATTATACTATGATTTTGTTAGATTTAAGAGTTAAAAACGAGTTGTAAGTTATACACATTTATTTAAAAATTACCAAAATCTTATTCAGAGGAGGTAGGAGGATGGTGGAGACATAAATCATAACCCAGGATACTTTAGTACGTGGCGCATTTTTTACACCAAATTGATTTTTTCTTGCAAATTTTACATGTCAGTTGCATGTAGTACTCGTAAGTACAGTAGTACATACATAGGGATGTAAGCTCCGTAGACCCTGGTTGTGGCGCTATTCTTCATAAGTATTGTTTCGAGTATAACTGCTTTGCCATGTATATTTTAGACATTTTGGCACAAACTTTAACAGAAGGTACTTGCACTATATTGCATTGTTGTAATAATTGTGATTGCGGTAGGTACTTTCATGGCAGAAGAACTAGCTGCATTGGAGGCATCATTAGATTCATTTCGTCTTACTTTAAAAAATTCAGAAAGTGGGATGTTATCCTCTTTGTCTGAAGAAGACTTGTCTTACTGTACTTCTGCCTCGGCTCTAAGTTGAGAACCTGGAAATTCACGAAAAATAGCAATAGAAAACTTACACGCTATAAGTAACTGTAGTTAGATAAACGGAAGCAGGCTAACCTGGAAGATTTTGTAAGGTAACGTGGTCTTCTTCACCAGAATCTTCATCTGTTGCTTCTGCATTAGCATTTTCTGGTGGTAAAATTGCTATGTAATTCGGTATCTGATCATCGTCGTCAATGTTTTCTAATATTTCCACTATTTCGTGAAGTCTCAGCGGTCTTTTATATCGTGGCCTAAACTTTTAATGAATATACAAGTTAGACGTCGATTATGCGACCAGGTGTTAAAACACCGATCGTAATTTTGTCATAAAAAGTCTCAAAAATGTAAAGCTTTTCAAAAACATAAGTTTATAGTTTTGTAGCTAACAGTAGTACCTAAAATAATAACTAGTATAATCTGAGGTATTACTAGCAAGTTTATGAAATATATTAGCTTTTATAAGACGTTTTTGCACAAAACTAAATAACAGAATTCAAAATAGTAAAATACTAACAAAATAAAGCAAATATGCGATATCGAACATACTCAATTACAGCTTGATTCGTAATGAAGAGAAAATACAAGGAACAGTAAATAAATTTTCGATATTTTTATAGTTTATCTGAGGATATTCCGAACTACTTTTTAGCGGTGTTATAACACCTGGTAGGAGTAAGTGGGTTAACTGACTTTATCGTACGTTATGAACTGTCAAATGATTACGATTGCTTTACACAATTCCACCTCTGAATATGAATAAAAATAATAAATATAATAATTATGTTTATTTTCTCTTCTTTGCGAGAGACTGGTGTCTAAACTAGGGTAATCCCTGTGTGATAGATCACCTAGCCTGCAATAGTCCTAGTGAAAAGTAAAATTTTGACTTCAAATTTTATATGGCAAGAAATTAGTGTTATATTATCTTGCTTCTGCCATCGCTTAGCTTTCAGTGTACGACTAACTTTGCTAACGAGACATTGCAATTGATGGTGTGATATGGGAGCGGGAGACAAAAGAAATCAATTCATATTAATGTTATGGTAATAGGTGCTACCTTTTGTCAAATATTTTCTAGATAGCTTAGTAACTTTGGTTTTATGACCGTATGATGTATTAACGCTAATCGAATAATTTATTAAACATTGGTTGAATTTAAAAAATGCTACCAACCGGTCAATATGGAAATTCTATTGGGGGAGTCCTATGTTCAGCAGTGGACGTCCTGTGGACTAACCACAAGCTTGACTCTTTACTGAACGAATTTCAAAATGCATCGTCATTATAAGAGCTAATAATTTAACAAAGACAAATGGAGGATTTGTCCAACACTCCCCACGCTGGCCAGACAGGTTGGGGATACTTGACATTCCCTTTAAAGTTAACAGTTAACAACCTACGATAATATTTTTTAACTTATTCGGCCCAGAAAGAAGAGCCTTGCTTGCATCATATGTTAATACAGTGTATCTAGCATCGCATCCGTAGTATGTTATTTATAAATTACGCTAACGTTTCAACAGTAGTGGAATATAAATGGAATAGCCAGACTCACCCTTTGACCTAGTTGACACGAACTTCCGAAGTCCACAATCTTAATGGCTGACCTTTTCGGGTTGCATAGTAGTATATTCTCGGGTTTTAGATCACAGTGAATTATATTTAGTTCTGAAAAAAAAAGAAGGTTAACATTAATATGGTAGAATACAATTACTGCACCTGAATGGCTCCACTTTACTAACCATTATGACTATTACGACTACCTATAATAATATTTAAATACGTGTATTTGTTTTTCTACGCAAGAGAACTCATTGTGGTTATCAATTCAGTGCCACAAGTTTCAATATTATAGTACATACTACATAAACAAAAAATCGTATTTAGTAGACCACCGAGGGTCAGCATTTACGACGAATCACGGTGGTCCAACCTATTGAATTTCATGTTAGCCGTGATTGACTTAATGGTCCACCAATCAAGCAATCATTAATCTATTGTAATGCTCAATAAAGAGCTCTTAGTTACAAGTAAACGAAATCTCCCTAAAGGGTCTCGACTAACTGCGTCGATAGGTCATTGTTTTGACACAATATCTGCATAATTGCAACGGCGGCAACTGATTTGGGGCGAGCACTATGGACACCGCAGTTCCTGCTCAGATCACTTGCGACACTGTTGACAATAGTGGTCTTTACTCTTAAAGCTATGACCACACTCGCGTTGGAAACTGCGCGATTGACTAGAAGCTAGGCAATAGATCTTTAGGAGCGATCAGTTTATATTCGCTATCATGGGTAGCGGACGCCAGACGACTTTTTGTTATACATCTGATAATGTTGTGACGAGACCAAGCAAAAGTATGACGTACACAATGACTAATGAATGGTGGCGTTGATGAAGGACACTCTGAAGCAGTAAGCACCAGAAAAACTCATCTATCTGCTGCACCATATGATAAGAGCATATCACTTTTTCAACTTATGGACCTAATGGTTCTAGGGTAGATCTCTTTCAAGACCTTTAGGTCCACTAGCTTTTTGCTAGACTAAGCACGAACCCTGAAGGTGTATAGCCTCAGCCTTACATGATGCTGAAAGATCGAATTACGTCCTGATGTTGCATTGTATTGCGTTATGCAATTGTGTTCCACTTATGATATACTGAATTTAGCGAAGTACAATAACAAAATGCCGTCATATCGGAATGTAGATGTATTGTTTTACCGTCAATTTTTCGCTTGTTTACATTAATTCGAACATAACAACAATTTTCCAAGAAACATATCACGGCGTGACGTAAAACACCCACACAGTGGGGCACGAAAGTTAGTGGAAAGAGACAAACAATAACTTCTCCTTAATTGGAGAATATGAAAAGGTTAAAGGAAGCCAATTTAACTGCCTAGTTGGAACTATTTTTGACTAATGGGTACAGTACTGCGGTAGTTCAGAAATAACAAGTTCAACCTTAGCTTTTTTGCAGAGGTCTACTAACCACTCGAAAGGTCGAAGTGTCTAATTGCATTTCTGATTACCTTACTGTACAAATAAGCTTTTTTCTTAGTAAGTTTATGTTTGCCGAAAATTATTCGCGTGTCCTTTCGGCAAAGTTTAATTATAAAGTCTATTAAGATTTAAAAATCGTCGCGACTACGGATCACGTTCTTACATACAGTAGGTAATATGTATCGAACATGATTGCAGCTGTCATCACGTATGGTAAACTCACGCCACTACAAACAGTCCTCCTGTCTCTTCTGATCCTGGTTAATTTCGTTGTGGGTCCAATGACAGTTGAACTTTCCCCCGGAACAAACTTGACCTTCACTGGTTAGGTTTTATTGGCGGTCAAGCTGTAGATCCTGGCTACACAGGAGTTGCAGCGGTGGGAACGAGAGGTGGGAATAGTCCCGTAGTCCTTCTGTCTCACCAACTATCAGGAGACGTTCATTCTAGGGATGTTATGGATATGTAGTTTCGGTTATGGATACGGTTACGGATATTGGAATAATATACCGGTTTCGGTTACGGTTAGGGATATTTTTTTATTTCGGATATCCGAAAGTTTCGGTTATGGTTACGGATATCTGTGCTATGTATAGAATACAATTTTTAGATTCCAATAGTTGGCCATTATCATTGAATCGGTTATGGGTACGGATATTTTTTTATTTCGGATATCCGAAAATTTCAGTTACGGTTATCCATAACATCCCTGGTTCATTCATCCAATTACCACTTCTTCTACTACCACGAAGAACACTCACCAGGTTGACTAAGGAACAGTAACGCGGTGCACAGCTGTTGCGCGAACTTGCGCGTGAGGTTCAGCGACACGCCGCGAAAGTTCGTGTTGCGCAGGAGATCGTAGAGATTGTACGAGAGCAGCTCGAACACTAGGCACAGGTGGTTCCGCCACATAAAGTGACGTTTCAGTTTTACTGCAACAAACAAACGGCGATCAGATACGTTTCGTTCACAAGCTATTGCCTTCCAGATAGCAGAGTCGACAGCACGTTAGACTATTTGAATTTGCTTACAAAATCACATCTATTTACAACTGCATAAGATCCAGTGTTTAGCTGGATGTGCCGTCGTTTTATAACTAAAAAGGTCATGGCTGGCTAGACTGATCGACCAGTAAACACCTTGAAAAGCTTCTTCAATTAATAAGATTACAATATTTACCTATATCTAACTAGGTCGCTCCAGATAAAGTGAAACTTTGTATAACAGAAGTTATTTCAATACGTAAACATCTCAAGGGCCGATTATACCGCTTAACTTACATGTATTAATAGAAATCTCTTACCTATATAATACTTATTTTCTGCATCTGCTCTGTTCATCATTTCTAGTAACTTGACTTCTATTTGTGCCTGGTTTAGGAAGGGTTTCTTATTCTTAATTATTTTAATCGCTACTTGACACTGCTCCTCATGGTCATACGCTTTCACAACCTGGAAAAAGAAAACAATGGATTCATTAACAAGTATCAACAAACAACAATCTCTATTTCTTCTTATATCGTATGGATTGATACAACTTAGGTCGCGATGTTGCTCTCCCTGAGAAGTCATAAGTCTAGTGTGGCGTAATCAGACCGACTTAGCGTGCCCTCTAAAGCACGGGAGCAAGCAATCAAATTTATTTTACTCTTTGATTAAAGTTAATCTTTGCAATACCCACTCAACCCACTGCCAACGAAAATTAATGACGAAAAGAAATTTTGAAATCCATTTTTTATTTACTTACATTTCTGATTACGAATCAAAAGGTTTGAAAGAAAGAAAGAAAGAAAGAAAAAATATTTATTTGGTACTAAAACTTCTTGGTTTCTAATACTTCTATTGATAGAATTATCAAAGTGTATTTTTACAATTATTGGAAAAATAGAATCTAAAGGCCAACTGATACCCGCCCACGCATGAATCCCGATATCTCCGTCGTAAAATTTTTGTTCCAAGAAAGTTTAAAATAGTCCTTTCATATGGTTCGGTTAAATATATCCTGATACTATTAAAATACCGAACAAAGAAAACGGTTTCAACTTTAAATGGAAAGCCCCGTATTAAGGTCCCTGATTGTGAGCATGATAATGTTGGGTATTTGAATTATGCTCAGACTTCGCTTAACTGATGACCCAAAGATTACCACCACAACCAGACAGTTAACCTTCATCCAATGGATTACTTTCATAATCGCCAACGTTCCGTCTAGGTCGTGTCTGTCTAGTGTTGTTTAAAAATATGCAAATTACATTACTGGAATCCCGCGCCAAAAAAGCTTTTCTATTGGATGGAAATTTCCTTTAAAATTCTTATTTCATAAGCTAGTGAAGGATTTATACCGAGGATTTATATTTATAAATAGGGTAAACCAGAGAGTGATTGCCCACTGGTAGTGATTGCCCGCTTTAAGAATAATATTGTCAGGTGCTGACTTTGAATCACTCTAGTTAGATTTGAATTTACTAAGTAGATGGCTCCGAGATCAATGTACAGTAGATTTAAAATTTACAATAGGAAACACTAAAAAAAAACAGTTATGGCGGATTTTGTCAAGACGGGTGAAAATGTTACTCAAACAGGTAAAGACTTTAACAATTTTACTAAGGAATTACTTTCTTAGAGGTTAAATTTTTTTTGCAAGTTATTTTATATTCAACTAATGGTATATAGTTATGATTAAATTATAAGTGTTTTCTCCATTATCAATGAAAATAACTGATAAAATTTGATTTCTAACGGTCATTTTAACGGTGGGTAATCACTGCACGTAAATCTGTATATTTTTAGTTATTGCCCACCATCATTTCAGTTATTGCCATATGTTAATGTATAGTTATTGCCCAGGGCAATTATTATTAGAGTATTGCCACCATGCAGTAGCAGTGTTTAAGTTGCTCATTTCTAGACTTGTTTTGCAATTTACAGGCATAAATATTGAAATGGCTCTTAATGTTTCATTTTCAGTATGCCAAAGACTCCAAAAGTTCAATATAGCATAGAAAATTTGCAAAAAGCGATCGAAGCTGTACAAGATGTATCCAACAATTTATCTACATTGCTGAAAAATATGGTTTGGCTTGAAAAAATTGATAAAAATTCAAACGCAAATACAAAAATGAAAATCCTACGTTAAATCTACTACTGAAAATGTTAATTGTAAGGAAATAGATACAACTTTAGGGAAGAATAACTAACAGCTAATTGAACATTCTGAGCAACCACTTGAACTGATATCAAAGAAGATAAAATTTACATATAAAATTCAAATTTTTGCGTCATCTATGTTTTGAAGTAGATGATTCTGTCTCTACCGATTCTGACTCATCAACATCAGCTCAAGAAATATTTGATAATATGTTAATAAGGCCAAACGCAATTTATTTTGAAATTTTGAAGACTACTAGAATTTAAGTTTAATGTTTTGTTTTGTTTATTTAAAGCCTATTTTGTCATTTTAAAATTGATAATTTTGTTTTAAGATACTGGGCAATTACTGTGCTTTGATGTGGGCAATTAGTGTGAGTAATGGGCAATGACTGTACTTTTTGGAGGATTTTAAATTTATTTCAATATTTTCTAAGTTACGTAAGTTTTAACTAAAAACTGTTAATATTCTGTTTAACAGTTTATTGAGTTATAAGAAAAAAGTCATAAATGGTCGATAATTAAAATACTTTCTTTAATTTTTCATCTCAATGTGTTTGAAATCTTTAAGTGGGCAATAGCTATACGGTTTACCCTACTTCAGGTAATCAAGAATTAAGTAAGATCTTAAAATAAGCGGAATACCAATAATTAGATGGAAAATTCTATGAAAAAGAAGCTTCGAGGCGATTGTCATTCTAAATGGAAATGTTATTGCCAGAGCAATATGAAGCCAACATTTAGATACGCTTCTTTGATGAAATATGAAATGAATGGTCAAAGAACAAATTAATCAAATTATATTTGCTAACCAAAAGGAAAATAAACTTAGAAATGAAACTGACCTGTCCAAACGAGCCCTTCCCAATAGGTGAAGAGATCTCGTACCGATCGAGGAACTTCTCTCCCTGCTTGATGATGTAATCATGGTTGTCATCATCGTACCCGTCATTGTATAGCTTCCTCTCCTTTTTGTGCGAGCCGTCCTCGCCCAGGTACTGTTGCGCTCTCCGTTTCTTCTTTGCATAATATACCTGGAACAATTTGAAAGGAAAATTTAGTCGGATGCAAATTATGCTAATCTTTACTTCACCAGATGTCGGTTTTTGGTTCTGGCTTTACGATAAGCAAAGAGGCTGTAGAAGGGTCATCATATCATAATATACTATGCAACCTAGAATTCCTTGAAAGGAGTACGCAAAATAACCTGGTGGTAATAAAAACCTTGGTTACCCCATTGCATTGGTGAGGTTTTCAGAATAAAAAAACTAATTACATGAGAGGAGTCCTTTGTTAAACAGTGACCGCTAAGTAACATTTATCTTGATATATTGTTTTCTTCGTAACTTTCCAAGGACATCGTATGCAATCTTCGCTGCAGTGATCTGGTGGTAGCTCGCATAGCCTTTCGGAGGATTTTGGCTTTAATCTGCGTCATCTAGGAGAGTCACTTTTCCATGAGCGTTATCTGTTGTGTCAATAGATCTACCCCTTTTGGACTCTTCAGCTTTTTTGGCTATGTATATTATTTATTGACTACGCAATATTCATAATAACTCCGAGGCTGAAGACAGTGACTCCATCTTCATCAGACATTTGGTTGGAGTTTGAAAGTACGGCTGTTTCATACGTATTTTGTGGCGGGATTTCTTGCAACTCGGTTTTTATGGGCCGTAGGCCGAACGTAAGTTCGGTTAATTGAATTTAATGTGATACTAAACACTTTTTAACAAGCGACTCCATCTCACTATTATTAAATAACAAAGATTAATGGTTTACTTTGAAGATAGTTGATTTAATCGACTGCTATTTTTTACTGACTGCATTTTATGGTGCACACATTACCTCATACAACGAAACGGCTGATTTATTTATGTAATTTCCCAGTTTTTGTTTATTTATTAAAAATCATGAAGTGGTTGACATTTTTGACAACTATTTTTATGACAGAGAGAGATCCATGGTGTCATGCAAATATTGAAAAAGTTGTTATTACATTACTAATTTCACCTACTTTCAGAAGACCATATTTTATGCCTAGTCCATAAACTAGAAAGTTATTGAGAAAGTTTTGCAAAATAATTTTAATCGGTTTCTAAAATCTGCGACTGATCATAATTCAGTGACCAAAATTCCGCGTAACATCACATTAGACGGGCAAGCACAATGAAGTCATCCAAATAGTTACAGGAAATGAAGAGTAGACGAGCGCGGGAATTCGGCTGACGGCCGTTGACCCAAATATGCGGTTGACATTGATCGACGACGGCCGCGATATGCCCATAATAAAACATTACAACGCACGGATCGGGGACTAGGAAGTTCGTTGCTACGGGTTTTTTACGCGCTGTCGCGAGACTCGCCTAGATATGACTCACTGGCGCAGGTAACACGGGTATGCCGTGTGAATGTCCTCGGTAATGGGCATCGATCAAACAATTAATTCGGATGTAATGAACGCTCTGATTTATGGTTTTGTATTAACAATTAAAACTTTATACAAGCATAATGAGCGAGGAGATCATCTTGGGGAGCATAAATAATAAATTGAATTAAGATCTGGAAGGGAACATGAAACTGAACAAGAGAGGCGTCGCGTCAGAGCGTCGCACTGTGATTCGTGTAGAACAAGCTAGCTGGACAAAAGTCATTGTTGAATTTCTGATTATCGTTTATAAAAAACGATAAACAACATCCCAGACATTAAGGATTCCACAATTTTTTACTTTGTTAATTACCTAGTCGTGAGTAATTAACATGGTAATTGAGGATATGAGGATAGTGTAATTTTTAATTCCTAATTTTGCTCGACTTTCGACAACACCTGATATTATTTTTTACTATGGTGACCAAATATTTGTGTGATGGATTTTGAAGATAAGGGTAAGTACTTTTTATTTTCTGTACAATAAGGTGCCTAATAATGCACATAGTTTTAAAAAGTATGGCGAAATGTTGACCTTTATATTTTTCTCAAAATTTTATGTTTGGAAGACTAGAAGTTGTATGCCCCCACTTGACCCCAGTCTGGAATTTATATATATTGTAGCTGTAACCCTCTAGTAAAAACTGGGTTGTTACTGAATCCACTCTGACATGTCGGAAGGGATATAGTAGCGCCTGTTGCGGTTCATCCTGGGCAACGTCAGATAGTGCTGCATTGAAATCTCATAATGGGATCTCAATGACGCGGTACCTGGCGGCCGAAGACTCGATACCCAATCTAAGGTGTTATCCGTACCGTGCCGAGAGATGCGTGGCTGAGGGGGAGCTCAGTCGCTAACGGTGGGCCCTCGATACCAGGCGACCTCGAGGTGTATATAGCCTTACTCCGGCATGCGGGGCTCTGCTGGAGTGGACCTACTTTCCCTAGCTACTCGTGGGACCAACATGAATAAATGCTCTCCCAAAAAAAGTAACGGTAACCTGGAAGACCTATGCCAGGAACTTATGCCACTGATAGAAGGAGTAGAACAACCGACCCAAATATCAGAGCAACTCAGTATGGAGACAGAGGAATCCATCAGCACGGCAGAAAGGGCTGCTTGCGGCTCACACTCGCTGACTGATGAATACACCGCCTCCAAACCCACTGGCAGGAAAATGTCAAGTGCGGCAAAAAAGCGCTTCGGAGCTCTGAGGCAGCTGGGAGTGGAGCCGAATATGGCTTCAACACTGGCGGTCAAGAGCTTCGCTGAGCTGAAGCAGATGGGGTACAAGTTTAAGGCCTCGCAACCTGAATCTGGGCGCAAACCGGTAAAACGGGTTCGCTCGGAGGAGGAATCGCCAAAGGGACATATTACCAAAGTCCCAAAGGTGAGTGAGACCTTAAACACCTCAACCACCGTAGCCTACAGCGTCGCTGCTGACGTGCCATTTTGTTATACATTTTGACACATTTTCTGTTGCGAATGTTATATCTATTACTTCCTGTCTGGTTTTTGTTACGAATGTTGGCGTGTGGCCATTGTTCAGCACCTGTAGACAGTTAGATAGAAGAAAATCGGATAGTAACTCACCTCTCATGTTGGTATCCGAGCTTCCCCAGATGGTATGGTGGGCGTTAGCATCGCATCCCACTATCAGTTCCGACTTTTGTCTTCTAGAGTATTCCAGGACGTTAGTCAGTTCTTCAGTGGGATCTTGCTTATCTCCAGGAAGATATGCCGAGCAGAAGAGTACTTTGGACCTGTTCGGCCCTTTGACTTCTACGTACGCGGTGACAGTATCTTCGCTGCAAAGTTCTGGAACAGGTAAGAAGTTAGTATTTTTGTTAAACACGATACAAGCCCTAGGTTTGCGGCCTTTTTCGCATACAAGAATCTTACCAGCGTTGTTCAGACCGGCTACCATGGAGTCGGCGTTTATCCATGGTTCTTGAATGAGGGCGATGTCCAGGCCACCTTCGCTGAAGATCTTTTCTATGACCGCAGAGGCTGCGATAGCGTGGTGTAGGTTGGCCTGTAGTATCGCCATCCCCTTTGGGCGTTGAGGTTGGTGGGGACTATTGTGCTTGGGAGCCGCGGCGCCCTTGTGTGCCCCGCCGCCCTCGGTACGGTCCTCTGTGCTGCCCCCTTCCTCAAAAGTGACCAGAATAGCATGATTTTTAATTTATATTCTCAAAATGTGATGTATTGGGATCACGAAAATTCGCTGAGAGAGTTGAAGAATAGCATCAGTCGCATTTCAATTTCATTTCAATGGACGAAATACGGCAAAACAGGGAACGCTTCATGAAAAACAAAACTGAGTGGATTCCCGGAGCCATAGTGTTACATGTTTCTGTTCATAAAGTTCAGTCTTCCACGTCGAAAGATTCTACACCTGGACGACCACTCAAGGAGTTCGACGAGTCCAGCAAAAAGACGAAAAGAAGAAGACTTTTAGACCTCATTTCCTCAAGAAGTACTTGAGAACTGATATTGGCTGCTGAAGCTGCAGCGCAAATGTCTGCTGGCCACAGCAACTTGGCAAGTCATTAATGTTGTCCCAGTCTACCCACTAAATTAAAAAAAACTGAGATTCTTTGTTCCATATAAATCGCAAAAATGTTTATATCGAAAAATTGATTTTCATTAAATTCTCCATAAAAAACGGGAATTTCATACTTTAACACCTAATACATCATAAGACCAATTATTATTATACTGTAAAGTTAGTTTCTTCTTTCCTTTTTAGTCTGTTTCTCTTGATTTTAGGAAATAAATATTTTATTACCAAAAAAAATTTTTTTTTTGAAACCTACCTATAATAATTATAATAACATGCCTAATTAATCTTATATTGCACAAAAAAGTAAGTAATGCGTGTATTAAACCCATTAAAGTAAAAAAATAATATTGTCCAGCTAGCTTGTTCTACTCGAATCACTGTGCGTCGTCACGCGGTCAGATATCTGGCATTCAGAAGCGGCCTTTACGTAACTCGGGATGTGTTACGGCAATAATATACATAGACTGCATAGCATTCGCAGCCTGGTGGTGCGGAAGCGTCGCATATCGACGCGGCCAAACGATAACCCAAATTTCTGACAGCGACCTACATATTAGAGAGTGTATTTTACAGGCGACCGAGCGCGTCCCGACAGCCGGCGAGGCTTCGGCTTGGTATATGTTGCGCGCCAATATATTGTTGACCGGTGCTATGGTAAGTCAGAATCGGTTATAAGAAAATAACGGGTCGTTTTGTGCGGTTAAACGGAGTGGGTATTTGATTTCCGCGTGTAGTTGTGGCGTGGGTATTTTTATTGGGTGGGGGTGAAAGGAGAGTTGTGCGTGGGATGATTGAGGATGATCAATCAGCGCGGGTAGCTGCGAGGGATTTAGTGGTGGTGGTGGTGAGTCAGTGACCGCGGCACGTGGTCGCGAGATGAGCGCGTCGGGCCGGGGAGAGACGGCGCGCGGCGGCTGTCATTGATTTTCCCCGTTTCGCCCCTACCCCTAGCTTAGCTCCCGCCCCGCCGCGTCTCACCCACTTCCAGCGCCCGATAACGAGGTTAACGGGCGACGTGAGCGTCTCCTAAACTTTAATTATA